AATTAGACTATTCTTATATGAAAAAGTTTGGTTTAAGTGCGCAAGAGTAAAAAAAAATTTTTGATGGGTTAAAATGAATTTTAGTTGTGAAAAAAAGTTTTTGGTTTTGATTTTTGATTTTTCCTAGTAAAATTAATTAAATGGACCTTGTTTGAAACTTCGTCACAATAATGAGCAAGCCACACCATAACGTAAGTATCAAAGGATCTCCTCTAGGCGGAGCCTTCGTACCATCCTAGTAAGATGTACATTTTGTATGTTGGTATTATGCGGTCTCCAAATCAAACATTTAACATGGGTTCTAGATAGGGTTGCTAGAGTCACGAACCTTATTTGAAATTTTACCATAAGAAAGGGCTAGCCTTAACATGATGAAAATTGGAAATATATCTACTATGGGTGGAGTCTTTGTATTGTCCTAGTGAGATGTGCATCCCCTAGACCAACGCTACATAATTTTTGATCCTAAACATAAGTTTACTTTAAGCTCAAGTGTAGAGCTTCACTCAAAATGCATGAAAGCAAACGGCAACCCCAACTGTGTATCATACAACAAATAAGTAATCACCAATAGCAAAGGATAGGAAATAAAATATGTCATAAGAAATAAAATAAACAATGCTAACATGCATGTTATAAAGCTAATTAAACTAGGTTTGACTCTCTACATTATCCCTAGTGAAGTCGCCAGTTGTCGCAACACAAAAAATACTTGAGCAAACAAATGCTCAATATGACAATGAAGTCGCCACCGAAGTTTAATTTTGAAGGGAAAATGCCAATAAAACCCTAAAAGAACAAAAATATGGTCATCGCAACCAGATTCAAATTCAGGAGTCGGTTATGTGTGAGGAAGATCATGGCACCCAACACATCAGTTATACTAAATAGGAATGGTGTAACAAGGTTGGCAAAAATGAGTGTTAGCTTAAGATTTTTATGTTTCTTCTTATTATTAAAGATAGTTATAGGAAATTAAAGAAGGGAGAAAATAAGTTTTTTATTAGGCTGCTTGACGAGATGTTGAATCTTGCTCTTACATATCCCTGGGTGTAATGAAAAACTCAAAGTTACATAGTTCTTGGTAGAAAATATTTGTTTGATGATTGATTTTAACGAAAGATGTTTATGTCGCATTCGAGTGGACAAACATTACTTGTTACTCGTGCATGGGAGAAGTGAATGTTATTTGAGCTCCGCGTTCAAAGGGATCATGTTTTGATCGTATTCGAGCGGAAAACCTTGTTTGCTACTCACGCAAGGAAAAACTGAAGCATTATTTGTACTTCGCATCGGAATAGATAAAACATATTTTGTTTATGAAAAGTTTTTCACCGCGTTGAAGGAGAAAATGGTTTGATTGGTTGAAGTTATTTTTACGTAGATGACGAATATTCATGTTTTGATCGCATTCGAGTGAAAAACCTTGCTTGCTACTTGCACATGGGAGGTCTGAAGCGTTATGTGTGCTTCGTGTCGGAATAGATAAAACATATTTTGTTTATGAAAATTTCTCCATCGCGCTGAAGCAAAAAACAGGTTTGATTGGTTGAAGTTGTTTTTAGGTGAACGAAGAATATTCGAGTAATGAGGTGTATGTCTGCCACTTGTTTATTCGAGGAGCAAGTTGATGTGCATCCACCCATTCCCTTTTTGTCCAAGTTTTAATTAAAAATTCTTGACGTAAGACAAATACTCAGAGCAATGAGGTGTACGCCTCCCATTTGTTTATTCGAGGAGCGAGTGGATGTGCATCCACCCATTCCCCTTTCATCCAAGTTTTAAATTAAAATTTTCTTAACGGAAGACGAATATCTGAAGCGATGAGGCATACACCTCTCACTCGTTTATTCGAAGTGGATGTGCATCCACCCATTATTTTTTCATCCAAATTTGACTATAAAAAAGAAATAAAGGATCAATTACTTAAACTCAGTATTATTAAAGCGTCTAACCCTAAAGTTCACTCAAATTTTGCAGCTAAATAAAAAGGTATTTGAGTTAACTATGAAAGGATTGTGTTTTAAATCGACAAGAGAAGTGACATATGTTTTTTATTTCCCCCTAAACCTAGTAACCTAAAATTAATGGCGAAACAAGAGGAAACTCACGCAGACACATAAATGGGCCTAAATACATTCATTGATGGCCAAAGAAATAAAAAATATTAATCAAAATGAATCAGAAAAAGATAATACAAAAATTAAAGAATAAACAAAAGGTTAAACAGTATAAATAGCAAAGTTGTCTAAAGCCCCGCCCAAAACATCAAAACACATTGTTAGAATTAGAAGATAAATGAAGAATAAAACTAAATAAATAAATAAATAAAAATTAATAGAAAGCAAAGGGGTCTATGACTAAAAAAAATGGTCATATAGACTCAAAGCAAATGGAAAATTTTACCTCATACCCCGTCATTTATTCCTCTACCCCTGCATTATATATTTTTTCACCAAAATATCCTCATATAAATAATTGTAAAATTTTCTTGATTTAATTATTTGATCCAGAATTTAATAAATAAATCTATTTTTAAAAACTACTTTATTAATATTCTCAGCAAACATGGCAAGTATTATCTATATCTATTATATAATCTTATAATGTTTCCATCAAAGATTTTCTGCTAAATTTATTTATTTAATTAATTAATTAAATATAAATATATTTATCATTAACTCTATCATTTAAAACTTCCGACTAAGTCACATTCTTATATTTTAAATAATTATTAATTAACAAATGCAATAAGACACGTCCTGAATTTTTTAAAAAATGCAGTCACCTACCAATAATATATTTACTATAGTAACTACTCAGCATAACTTTTCTCTTTATTCAATTAATTAATCTTTTATTATTAATAATTAAATATTATTATTATTAATTAAATTAAAATATTTAACATATTTATTTCTCAAATTTCTCTCCATTCAACCCTCTCTATTTATATCATACAAACAATTAACATCTCTCTACCCATAACATCTCTCTAACCCCACAATAATAGGACATATAGTAATATTAAATTTTAAAAAAATTAAATAAATTAGATATATAATGCAAATCTTAAAATTACTTAATACAAAAAAAATTAATAAATATAAAGTTAAAACCAAAAATAAAGACAAAGATTAAACTAATCATAATGCAAATCTTTATTTTATTTTTGGTTTTCTATTTTTCTTATTACTTCTTTGATTACTCTTTTTTTTTTAAATTTGTCTTTTTTCTTAATTTAGAAAAACTATGTTATCACTAAAACTTTTTAAAATTACTAAAAAAAAACTTAAAAATGCTCTTGAAGTTTTTTTAAAAATAGAAAACTAAACAAACAAACAAAATACTCTTATTTTTAAAAATACTCTTATTTTTAAAAATACTCTTATTTTTTCTTAACTTTGTCTTTTTTTTAAACCACCAAACAAACAAAATTAATATTGTGTGAGTATAAAATTAAAAATACTCTCATTTTTTCTTAACTTTGTCTTTTTTTTTTTTTAAAACTTCAAGAGCATTTTTAAGTTTTTTTAATAATTTTAAAAAGTTTTAGTGATAACAAAGTTTTTCTAAATTAAGAAAAAAGACAAAGTTAAGAAAAAATAAGAGTAATCAAAGAAATAGTAAGAAAAATAGAAAACCAAAAATAAAATAAAGATTTGCATTATGATTAGTTTAATCTTTGCCTTTATTTTTGGTTTTAACTTTATATTTATTAATTTGTTTTTGTATTAAGTAATTTTAAGATTTGCATTATATGTCTAATTTATTTACTTTTTTTTAATTTAATATTACTATATGTCTTATTATTGTGGGGTTAGAGAGATGTTATGAGTGGAGAGATGTTAATTGTTTGTATGATATAAATAGAGAGGGTTGAGTGAAGAGAAATTTGAAAAATAAACATGTTAAATATTTTAATTTAATTATTATTTAATTAATAATAATAATATTTAATTATTAATAATAAAAGATTAATTAATAGAATGAAGAGAAAAGTTATGCTGGGTAGTTACTATGGCAAATATATTATTGGTAGGTGACTGCATTTTTAAAAAATTCAGGTCGTGTCTTATTGCATTTGTTAATTATAATTATTTAAAATATAAGAATGTGACCTAGTCAGAAGTTTTAAAGGATAGAGTTAATAATAAATATATTTATATTTAATTAATTAATTAAATATAAAAAAATTAGCGGAAAATCTTTGATGGAAATATTATAAGATTATATAATAGATATAGATAATATTTGACATGGTTGAGAATATTAATAAAGTAGTTTTTAAAGAGAGATTTATTTATTAAATTCTGGATCAAATAATTAAATCAAGAAAATTTTACAATTATTTATATGAGGATATTTTGGTAAAAAAATATATATATAATATAGGGGTAGGGGAATAAATGATGGAGTATATGGAGTAAAATTTTCAAGCAAATGTTTAAACTAAGCCCAAAAACAAAAACTAATTCTAACCTAAACCTCATTAATAATAATAATAATAATAATAATAATAATAATAATAATAATAATAATAATAATAATAATAATAATAATAATAATAATAATAATAATAATAATAATAATAATAATAATAATAATAATAATAATAATAATTAAAAATGATAATTAATTAACAAAAGAGAAACTTAACCTTTGACTTTTCAACCCACTAACAAATTAAATTATGTAGAAGAAAAAGAAAGATGTATAAGAAAGAGAAAGATGTGAGACAAATCAAGAATTGTGCATCAATTTAGAAAATATTAATCAAATTATAACAAGATTTTGATGAAAAAAACAACATAGAAAAGAAGAACCACTATGAAATTAGAAAACCTAAAACAAATAATCAAGAAACAAATTAAAAGTTTAACAACCAATATGAATTCAAAGATAACTTTAAGCTAACATTCCAATAAAATCAAAGAACAGATTGAAACGTTAATTTATTAAATGGTCAATAACTTATTGAAACATTTTGATTAAACAAACTAGAGCAACAATCTACATATTGCTGATGTTATGGCGGATGCATCACGCACCACATTATTTTCAGCTGTGAGTGGTGATTTTCCAGAGAAGCCATTCTCACAACCATTGGCCTCAATTGCAGCATCATTTGCACCATCTACTGCAAATTTTGGATCTCCTTTTTGCAAAGCTTCGGTTGCTTGTGGAACATCAGCTACCAAAATTGCATTGTATTTATCAGCACATGACTTAAGTGCCCCCTTTTGAGTGGGAGGAATACTTCCATTAAGTTGATTGATTTTGTTTACTGCAATGTTTGCTTTACTCTTTATTACATTAACCATGATTAGTGCTAAACCATTGACATTTGCGGTGGAGCTTTTTGGGTCAGCATTTAGGAATTTAATGCATAGTGCAGAATTTGGAGTTTTACTACAAGTTTGTTGTATAGTATTAGCATCACTTGGTTGAATAACTCGGGAGTGAGTTACAACAAGAGTGATGCACAAGATGAGAACGAATAACATCAATAATTTCAACATTTTAAAGTTTTTCTTACAATGAAAAAGGGAATTAGATATTACAAAACTTTGCTGTATCAAAAGAGAATGAATGAAAATGAACCAACACCAATATCTTATTTATAATAGAAATAATTTTATTAATTTGTCAAATGGGCTTAAACTTATCCATTCATTTTAGTAAATACTTATCACTTAATTTTTTTAACCGTTATTTGTTAATATAGTATTCAAATTAAAACAAATTATTGTTTTTAGTAATATATCATTTTTTTAACTAAATACTTTATTAAAAATAGTGTGATTTGTTTTTCAGTCAAATTTATAATTAAATAGTTTTTATTTTATTTCAATAAAACAATATGAATACATTGAATTGTGTTGAGAGAATGATAAGGACATATTGCATTTTCTTTAAATTGGTAATGTTAGTATTATTAGTAATGATCAGTTATTATCAAAACAAGGTAAATTCCTTTGTATCCATGATTTTAAGTTGGATATATATTTTTTCAATACAAACTATAAAATAAAATAAAATAATAAAGTGATGTGGCATTGAATCCTAATATTTGATTGGTTGAGGATACTGGTATGCAACTAATTCTAAAGGTACTGAAGTGTTCACACGGGAATGCTCACGCATCTCCCCCATAAACTCCACGTACCCCCTCACGCAGGGACACGTCATTAGCCAACTACCACCTTCTGAAGATCACGGGGTCGATGACACAGGGCGAAGAACACGCACTGGTCTTCCTTACGCCACGTAATCCCTGTCAGCTATACGTATTGGGCCTAGCGATCCAACCGAATGCAAAGTAACCGTTGGCCCCACGCTGGGGGCACATTATAAATACCCTCTTTCACTATAGGGTCAGGTATTCTATTCTCTACACCTTTTTTGTACTTTCCTTTCTCTTACTCCGTATCTTATTTTGGTATCAGAGTACCTTGCAGATACTCCTGTTTCGCTTCTCCACCACTGGTGAATTAAGGAGATCACGACGTATTGCTGGCCACTGATCCTTTTATGTTCCGGAAAAATCAATGGCACCGTCTGTGGGAAATGTGCTTCCCCGTTCTTTCTTTTGAAGAAATTCAAGAACCAGAGCATACTTCAATCTCCGTTAATCATGGTCAGCCCACACATTGACGATAACATTCAGGAAATCGCCTTCACCATTTTCGCCAATAGCGACGGTCACGATCTCAACGGGACCTTTCACGTCGATAAAGGCGACGCCAGGACGGGCGCACCGCCTCTTCCTCCCCCGACGATGCGGCTTTCAGCGTTGCCCGACGCTTCGACAACCCTGTTGTCTTCTACCCAATCCCCGAGCCTCGTATGCCAACCCGACCATGGTGGCTCTATTCGCAACAATCAATCAGACAAATTTGATGATCTTCCAATAGAACGAGTGGATCGAAATGCTCAAAAAGGAGCGACAATCATGCTCTCAATAATTGCTTTTATGCTATGCTACTTGATGTTTATGTGTTTCTCAATAATTACTTTTAAACGTATATCCAAGTCAATCAAGGATTTGGTTCAATCTCAAAATGTAATACAATTGGAAATTTTTTGTTGAAACATGTAATCATAATATCAACCATGCAAACTGGCTTCTCCGCATCTCCAAAAACTTTCTCTAATATTGAGTTTTTTCTTGCTCATTTTTTTAAATATGTTATAATTTACTATATTTATGAATAATATTTTTCTAAACAGTCGTATGTAAATCAATCTTGACTTCAACATGAATTTTTTGTTTCTTTTTTTAAAATATTACACTGTCTTTGTTTATAAATATAAAAAAATCTACAAATTATTATAAAATAAATAGATGATTTTGCATATTTAAATAGTCTAATATGTTTTAACAAATAACGACTTTAACTGCTTTTAAAATATTTAATAAATAGATAATTTTGCATATTTAGATAGTTTAATATATTTTAATAAATAAATATTTTGCTTTTAATATATTTAAATTCTAACTAAGTCAAATTAAAATCTCAAACACATCGAAAAATAAAAAAGCAAACCATATTAAACATTATTGAACGATCGTACCACTCAAATCAGATTTTAAATTAATTTTTCAAAACCTAAATATATATATATATATATATATATATATATATATATATATATATATATATATATATATATATATATATATATATATATATATATATATATATATATATATATATATATATATATATATATATATATATATATATATATATATATATATATATATATATATATATATATATATATATATATATATAATGTTCCAATAAAATTGAATTTTCATTATAAATTATTTTTTAAAACATTTATCACCCACATGAAAAATTAAATATTATTACCGATTAAAAAAAGTTGGCTTTTTAAATAATTAATTTTTTACAATTTAAAATAAACTTCAATGTTAAAAAAATCAATAATGCTATTTAACCAAAGTTCCAATATAACCAAGTAATAATATATAATAAATTTTTTTAGTTAACTACAATTTGCTTCGTTAAATTTTGGTTTGGTAAATTGCGGTTTGATTATTGAACTCTTTGATAAATTGTAGTTTTGTTCATTAACTAGAGAGAATAATTCGTTGTTCATTAACTAGAGAGAATAATTCGTTCAATTCTATAGTTAGATTCATTTCTATTAATTTTTGAACAACCAAGGACCTGGCTGGATACACAATATGTCCCCTAGAGAGTAGTATAATGTCTTCGAAAATATCGTAAGTCTCAGGCACTCTCTGCAAGAGCGAGATCACAATAGTTCCCTAGAGAAGTTGGACATACTACTTCCATAACTTGATAAGTTATCCAAACAAATAGATATTTCATCCATGAGTAGACCCTTAGATGTTCCAACCAACATCTCACCTGTATATATAGATGCACCACGTTTTCTTATTGGCCTGTACCCCCGGGCCTCGTACGCCAACCCGACCATGGTGGCTCTATTCGCAACAATCAATCAGACAAATTTGATGATCTTCCAATAGAACGAGTGGATCGAAATGCTCAAAAAGGAGCGACAATCATGCTCTCCCCCGCAGAGACATATTCCCTCGGTTTCTCGCAGCATATTCTTACGATGATGAGAAACTCTTCCTTCACCTACCCCGCAGGAGGCTGCAATTGATGAATCTCAGAGTCCCTCTCCTCGACAAGCCATACGTCATCTGCGACTGGAAAGGGCTCAGCCTGTGGCCACCCAGAAGTGTGACCGCTCTCCTCCTTAGAAAGAGCGACGATGCCGAGCTCCTAAGAGAAATAGAGCTGAAGGGCATACTAGGAAACCAAAAAGTTGTCAGACGAGCCCTCCACGCCGCGGAAGGAGCCCTTGGTATGATACTTCCCCCTTGCAATCACCCATTATAAGCGACGAGGATGACCCCCGCACTCCACTGTCTAGAGTTATCATGGAAACTCGTCTCCTCACCAACCATATTGAAAGCATCAATGTGATGCTCGACTACTGGAACGTCCGGGGGGTCATCATGTCGAAGCTCTTTCCCAAGATCCTGAGGACGGACACAATGGAGTGGTATAAGAGCGTCGAGCCTAAATTTGTCGCCTTCTGGAGAGAGCTAAAGATGCAGTTCTCCAAGCACTTCATCGCTTCCCGACGACACCCGAAAACGGAAGCATCCCTAGAAGCCATAATTGAGGGGAAGGAAGAACTCTTCAGGACTACATAGAGAGATTCAACTAAGAAGTTGTACAAGTATCTACCTCGGACGACAATAAAGAGGTATGTGATTGAGCGGGGACTGTAACCTCACACTGAGTTCTCCAAGGCCGTCGGCATCGAAAGGCCTAACACGCTAGACGCGCTCCTTCATAAGGCCTAATCCTGCATCCAATACGAGGAGAAGGAGGACGCCAACTACGCCCACGACTCGCGGAACTAGGAGAGTGGCAGAAATTCCAAGCATGAAAACACCACGCTCCTCAACAAGGCGGGGAGAGAAGGAAATAGGATCGACCCCAAGACTCTCGGGAGCAAAGGGGGCCAACAGGCCGATTCACCGAGTATACGCTAGTCACAGCTCCCCGTGAGCGCATTCTAACTGAGTGCATTAACTCGGAGTTCCAAAGAGGTAGTGTCCACTTCTCGAAGCCGACACCCACTAAGCCCAAAGTCGGCGAGTCATGGATACGTCACAGAAGATTGCATCCACCTCAAGGATGCCATCGAGATGCTAATCAATGAGGGGAACTTGAAATAATACACTTGAAGGAACGAGGTTCCTCGACAGGAAAATCACGAGGCGAAGAAGGTTGAGGATGTGTCGCCACCTTCCGATGAGACTAGGCTACAAGTATCCCTGTGCATCTCCCGGCCAGAGGACTTTAACCTCTCTTACAAGGCCGACACAACGTTATCCGTTTGCAGCCCTTGGGAAAACTTCCCAGCCGCGATGGTCATATCCGACGGGGTCCCAGCAAACTTTCAATAGGGTCAGTTAAGAGGAAATTTGAGGAGCTGATCGACAAGAGTTCAAAGCAGAGCGTCACCCTCGGTAAGTTTAATGGTAACTCGAACCCGATTACCTTCTACCTCGAGGAGCTACCTGGTGGCGCCCCTAATTCTAGCATCCCCTACTGATCAGGGCTCAGTTGGAGAACTTTGACATCTGTCGCATTCTTGTCGACCAAGGAAGCTCGGTGGACATAATGTACGCCCACCTCTTCACCACTCTCTAGCTCGACGAGATCCATCTAACATCGTATGTCAGCTCTGACTTGCAGGGCTTTAATGGCACCACCACGAGGTCATGGGGCTATGTAGAGATACTCGTCACCTTCAGATCCGAAGAGACTACAAGACAAGTCAAGTTCCGCTTCTTGGTAATAGAGTGCCTCTATTTGTACCAATGCATTCTGGGAAGGCCAACCCTGGCCAAATTGACTGTAGTTCCATCTACAGTGCACCTGAAGATGAAGTACTACACGACCAGGGGTCGAGTTGTCACCCTCTACTAAGACAT